AATTCATCCGAAGGCGAAACTACTTTGATAAATCAAAGTGTTATGAATGTGGGGAAAGTGGACACTTAAGTGATGCCTGTCTAAAAAACATGCTCGGAGAACGTGAGCCTCCAAAGAAGAAAGAAAAAAAGAAGAAAAAGAAAATTGTCGAACCGGAAGAAATTGAGGATGTGGCAGAAAGTGAAGACGAAGGGGAAGACCCCGCTCTCGAGTCTCAGCCAAGCCGTCGCCTCCCTGCAAGCCAAGACTGAAGAACAGAACCAATGGAAACCCAGGGCAGGGGGCCCCTCAACGTCAGAGGATTCACGGCGCCCGAGGATAAAGAAGAGCACAGACTTCAGTGATGAAGTCAGTGATTAGAGCTGTATAATGTAGATGTCAGGAAAATAAAAACCACCTGCAGCACAAATTATTTGCCTATAGGAACATTTAATATCAAATATTTTTTACCATAAAATAGTGCCTAGAAAATAAAAAATAATTTTTAAAAGTAAAAAATAAATAAAAGCCTTCATAGGTCTGTTATAAAGGACTAATGGAGACGTGACAGATGTGGTGTTGAGATTTTTAGAACAACAATGACCCTCAAGACATTTGGTTTCCTTCAAAATTGCCTACATTTTGACAACAAAAAGACCCACCAAGAAAGAAAAGAAGTCCAGGAATTTGGGTGGTATTTCCTCATTTTTGAAGCTTTGTTTCAAACTGTCAAGCAATTTATACATTGTCTGAATACATGACAATTGATGAACAACTTGCCTCATTTCAAGGTCCCTGTAGCTTTTGGCAATTTATGCTAAATAAGCCTTCCAAGTATGATATAAAAATATATCCCCTGGCAGATGCAAAGACGTTTTACCCCTTGAATTTAGAAATTTATCCTAAAACTCAGCCACCAGGTCTTTATTCGTGCAGTAATAAACCATATGACGTGAATAGACTTGCTGTACCTATTTTTAAAAGTAACCAAAACGTCTATTTGACAATTGTTCACTAGTTACCCATTGATGTTACATTTGCCAAAAGAATACTAGTTGATCAACATGGAACTATTTGTGAAAACAAAGCTGAGATTCCTGAAAAAATGTTGCAAGTGTACAGAGAAATGTATAGTACGATCTTTGGATTTCAGAAAGATAGAACATTGGCCTCATATATGGCAAAGAAAAACAAAGTAGTTTTGATACTGTCAACTTTACACCATGGTGATTAGATTGATGGTGAATCCTCAATACAAATGAAACCAGAACAAACAGTGGAGTAGGTGTGGTTGACAAGTTATGCAGCAACTATGGTGTCTCTTGAAACAAAACATTGGCCAATGGTTGTGTTTTACTCGATCCTAAATATGTCAGGCATAAATATGTATGGATCCACACAAAATTACTAAATACCTAAAGAAACAGGGAAAGATGGCCCAATCACAGAAACAAAATAATCTCCAGAAAATGATTCCAAACAAACAGAAGGGTATGAGTTATCTGATAAAGAATTCAAAATAACTTTCATACAAATAGCTTTCACCAAGCACAGGAAAAATATGCATGAAAGAATAAGAACATTAACAAATAACAGGAAATGTAAAAAAGAGGTAAAGAGAACTTTTGGAGCTGAAGAACAGAATAACAGAATGGAAAATCTCACTAAAGCAATCCAACAGCAGACTCAATCAACCAGAAAAAAAGATTCAGTGAAGCTGAGGGTAGGTCATATGAGATCACCCATCGAGGGAGCAAAAATAAAAAAGAATGCTGAAGAATGGAGGAAGCCTAAGCACTTTTAAGAAACCAGTAAAAGGGACCAATGTGTGCATAACAGAAGTCACAACAAGAATAGGAAGGGGCAGGAAGCTTATTGGCAGAAATTAGAGCCAAGCACCCCAAATGTGGGAAACAAAATTGACATCCAGGTTCAAGAATCCTGGTGGATTTCAACTAGATGACCCAAAGAAGTTGACCCCAGGCACATTATAATCCTATCGTTGAATGTCAGAGACAAAGTTTTGAAAGTAGAGGGAAAAACAATTCCTCAGGTACAGGGGAACATATACCTTGCATGCCAGAGAGCGTGGGAGATACATTCAAAGTGCTGAAAGGGCAAATAACTGCCATGGAAAAATACTATATACAGCAACAGTGGCAAAATTAAGGAAAAATTAAAACTTCCCCAGATAAACTACAGCTCAAGAACCTCATCAAAACAAATAAAGGCAACAAGACAGGAAGAGGAACAAAAAATCCAAGACAAATTAATCAGTTTACAAAATGACAATAGTACAGTCTCTTTTCTCAGTAATTACCTGTCACTATCAATTTTTTTTATTTTATATTATTTTGCCAAGTACATCGATTACATGACAGAATTTTAGTATTATGGGTACCACTTGTGGCTACTGGCCATTTGAATAAATTCTTCAAGGGCAATGCAGCCAAATGCATTTTAGGGAGAACATTGCTCCTCTGCTTTAGATAAAGGGTGTTTTGGTTTTTCAAAAGGTAGTAAAGCTAAGTTGAGAAGGAGTAAAGACATGAAAAGCAAGAAAAAGCTAAGCTTTTCTATAAAACCAAAGAATCTATGCCTACTGGAAGTAAAATATTTTCTGTTACAGTAGATGGACTGAAGAGAGAGGATCCAATGGGGAAGAAAAGGATAAAGCTTTGAAATAGTGGGCCATTATGGAACCAAGGGAAAAGAGACCTAGCAGGGAGCTGCCCATGATTAGGGGAACTTTAGGAACACTGGTGATGGATTTCAAAACATAATGATCTTTTCTCGTGTGTGCCGCTCTGTCCATAGGAAGTCTGATATATAGGGCATCTGATATATGTTGGGGATACCAAGAAAGAGTGTATGTGTGTTGTCCTGTGCAGGACTGTGAGTGGAGCACACGCTACCGATGTTTTTGCCTCCTCCTGTGCCTTTTGTGTGGAAAGCTGCAGGGAGAACATGGTCATGGCAGAAACACATTAGCCAAAAAACTTAGCATCATCAATATGTGATGAGGAAAAAAAATGTTTTGTCTGAAACACTGAAGAAAGAAATTCTTAAAGGTAATGAGCTTCTGGCTTCATTCTTAGGTTGCAGAATTAAAGAAACTAAATTATTATCAAGATGTCAGCTTCATCGTCAATTGATGCAGGCTTCCACACAAGCATCAGAACAGGCCTCCTTCACAGAACACAGTTCCTCAAGTTAACCTGTTGAGTCTCGCACCAATCAGTGCTTGCTCTACAGGTTCCCAGTTACTTTGCATGCAGCACTCCGTTCAGACTTCTCAGAATCTCAGGTCTCTGTTCTTTTCCTGAACATGGCCAGTTCCTCTCCACTGACACGTTCCTCCCAGCTCTGATCTGCTGCTACTCCTGGACATGTTGGCTTGGATATGTCTCCTGTGGCTGTACTGCCTCTCTCTGATCCAGGGCTAAATGTGAAATTCTACAGTCTTTTTGTGACAGAGACACATTAGTCCTGATTACTTTGGGGGAATCCTCAATCCTTAGTTTTTCAAACATTACTTCTGTTCCTTTTTTACCTTTACGAGATCAGCTTCACACTTTCTGTAGTTGCTCCACGGTTCTTCAGTACTCTGTACAAGTTTTTGAAATTTTGGGTTTTCTCTTTGTCAGTTTTGGGATTTCCCATCATCATATCCTTCAGGGATTCTTTTTTCAGGCGTGTGTAGTTTGCAAAAAGCTCATCATGGGGACTTTTCAGTTTAATTACAGGATTTTTATGTCCAATTTTCTCTCTCTCTCTCTCTCTCTCTCATTTTCATGTTCTGCTTACATTCTCTGTTCTTGCATGTTCATATTCTCTACTTTTCCCATTAAAACAATCAGCATATTAATTATAAAATAAAGCAATAATCCCTGCTCTAATAGTGCCAGCTTTTTGCATTAGCTGACTCTGGCAGAAACCATGCTGTTTGTATTCCTGATTCAGAGGACCTGGTCCCTGGGACTGCGAGCCTAACTGTTGCTGCTCACATTTTCCATTTGTTTCGTCTTGTATCTTCATTACCTTTCCCAGCTGAGCAAGACGGCTAGCAGTCAGTGGTGTTCTTGCCCCGTGTTGAAGGCCAGAGAGTTGTTCATTACTTATTATTTTACGGCATTAAATGTTTTTTCTTCAAGGGCAATTTCTTACCTTTTCAAATATATCCTTTAGACAGTCTGACTTTATTTTTTATAATATTAAAAATCTTATTCTTATTTTTAATGAGCATTTATCACACAATTCAAATTTGACCATTTTTCACTATCAGTGTTGTGAAGACGTTGCTCCACTTTACTGTAAACTCTATTTTGCCTTCAGATATTTGCTGTTACCTATTTTTCATGTTCCTAAAGGTTTTTTTTCTGTAATTTAAGTCCCAATTAATTTGTACAGTGACACAAAAATTAACTATGGAAAGCCTTTGAAATTTATAATGCTTGTATAAGTGCTCTATGACTTATTTTAATAAATGTTTCTCATTCTCTGGAAAAAGATGCATATCCTGCAATTATTGAATGAAGTATTTAAATATGTCAATTAGTTCAGATTGGTTAGTGGTATTATTAAAAACTTTTACATCCTTTCTTTGTCTGCCTATCCTATCAGTTATTGAGAGAAGTGTGCTACAAATTCCAACTAAGCTTTTGGATTATCTGTCATTTTAATTCTGCAACATTTAATGATGTGATCATTGTGAACAAAACCACCCATTTAACAATTTCTGTTGAATTATTGTAAGAAGAATCATTCATCTTTTTTCTTGCAACTATGTTGCCCTGCTTAAAAATTTCATTGTAGTCAGAGGATTAGGTTCTTCAGTGTAACAACCAAAGCTTATGATCATGGCTTATTTTAATGGTGCATCTCATGGCTCAACATGGCTGGAAGTAGAAGAAAATGCAGTATCACTGACTACATAAACACCGGTAAAAATTAGTTACAAGCAAGGATAGTTGAGTATGACTATTTTAATAAAAATGCAATTTATTTGGAATATGGGATATCATAGGGATAGAAGAAAGTAGGTAATAAATTAGAGTTACATTTGGAAGATATATACACACACACACACACAGGAAGAATCAAATACACATTTGTGGAAATGCTTGAATTGTGGGAGTGAATGTAGGACATTTACATGGAAAAAGTGGCTAAAGCAAGGAATAGATTACTAGTCCTTTGCTGTAGAAGTGAAAGGTAGAGTTTTAAAACTCTTCCAGATTTGTATTCAAAATAAGGAATTTGAAGAGAGTTTAACAAAGTAATTATTTTCACAGATATGGACTATTTATAAAAGCTGTCATTATTTGTCTGAAAGGGGCAACTAATGGTAGCAGTTCCAGAATGTGAAGGAGAGAGTCTTACAGCATGAGCTTCTGCAGGGCAGGACCAGGGTCCCAGGCAGCTGATGCCTTTGTTCTTCCTGACTCCAGTGTCCTATGGAACTGCTCTTTGGCTAAATCCACTGGCAGCCAAACTCAAGGGAGGTTGTTAATAGTCGGTGTCTGGCAATCCGCCAGGGGAGAAGCAGATGAAGGCAGCTGGAAAGTGTCACGGGTATGCAAGGGGCGGGTGGGGTCATCTATTGCAAGTTTGAATCTTCGAGAAATACCCTTGCTTATTCTTTCCAGATCACTTTCTGGTAGTCTAGGAAAATGAATATTATTCAGATATAAGTTAGAGAAAAGATTTGGCATACTTCTAAACAAGAAAAACATAAGAAAAATAGCAATATGTGTCTCTTACATATGATGAAAATTCACCACTAAATGTTTCCTCTGAGGAAGTAAAAAGCAAGATGAAACATCCCAAGTTGAGTTAAAAGGAAAAAAAAATATGAAGTAATCACTGCCATGCAGGGATATGAAATGCAAAAATGCAAAATAGAAGACCCGCTATCAAAAAATGTAAAGATGGAACTGCCAAAATTCAAGTAAAAAATAGCAGCCATAAGAAAAGTCTTTTAGGAAATTAGCAATATATTACAAGGATCACAAAGGAGAATGGATGCCATGGTAAATACAGTAGGTAACAGCATAGTGTGATAAAGGTAAAGAAAAAAACGTAAAAATTTTTAAAAGAAAAAAGTTTAGACATAAAGTGAATTATGTATGGGAATGCGGAGAAGATGCAACACATCTATAACTGAAATTTCCAAACAATAAAACTCAAACTGTGAGATAAGTAAATAGATAATAGATTAATTAATTCATTGATAGGGAACATTTTCTTTCTTTCTTTCTTTCTTTCTTTCTTTCTTTTGGTACCGGGGATCGAACTCAGGACCTTATGCTTGTGAGGCAGGCAGGGGCACCACTGAGCTAAATCCCAACCCGAGAAAATTTTCTTCAAACTTCAAGAAACTGCTTCTTTTCTTCGGCTCTTTGGGTTCATGGTGGCTATTGTTTCTATCCCCTTGACTCTAGTCACCACATGCACTCCTCCTAAACATTAACCTCTCTGAAAAACAGTACTTGTATTAAACCCCTCTTGAAATCTTCTTGGTTGATATATCTCACAAGTCTTTCGCCCTAGCTATAACTTTTCACACAAACCCTAGACTTGCATACAAAACTGCTCACTTATTTCCACTTAGAAGTCCTTTTAGACTGAACTTGTAAATTTTTCTAAAATGCCATTTTCACTGTAGCCTTCCCTCAGTTAATGAGGAATGACAACTCCACGCATGCAGGTGTTCAGGTGTTTCAGGCTCCATAGTCTACCTATCAGGAATACGATTGCTTATCTTCACATATATATCAAGGGTCTCATTACCTCCATGATTGCTAATTCCTTTCCCATGGTGTACACCTGTGAAAAATCAGAAAATTTGATTTAAAAGTCGTTAAAGATAATTTTTTTAAATGGAATAATATGCATGCTGTCAGATCAGAAGGCTCAATTTTGTAAAATCTAAATAATATACAATACGGGTTCTATACAATCGCAGTCAAATTCCCATTTTAAGAGGTGGAAAATTCTAAAATGTAGATGGATGAATAGAGCTTAGGCACTCTTATAGAGGAAAAATGCAGGAATAGGTAAAACTTACAGATATCAAAGTTAGTCCAAAGCAAAGAAAGCTTAGAGTTGACCCAAGTGGAGAAAAAGAAACCAGATATAAGGTCTGGTCACAAAATAGGATGTGTGTTTAAATTTAAAAGATTTTACAGTAAAGGACACATTACCACTAACCCTGAAAATTTTTGAACACTTATCTCATAATCCTCACCGTTTTCTGAAGCAGTTCTGAAAGTCCTCTGTCAGGTCTTTACAGAGTGTGATTAAAAATAGCATGAATGCTGCCAAGTGCCATCCAACAGAAGGCAGGCTCAAAAAACATGACTGTGCTGGGCGGGGATTTAGCTCAATGGTTCTGCCGCCTGTCTTGCAAGTGCAAGGTCCCGAGTTCAATCCCCCGTACAAAAGAAAAAAAACAACAACACATGACAATGCATCCATATTTACTGGATCTGGCACCATGCAACCTCTGACATCCCCAAAGCCAAAATGGCTATGAAATGTAAATGCTTTGAAACAATTCAGGACATGGAGGTTGCCATAATTGTGAAACTAATGATGCTCAGGAAAGAGCACCTCCAGAACTGTTTCAGAAAGTGGTGAGAACCTTGGGATATGTTTGAAGTGAGGGTGAAGATTTTGAAGGGAATTAATGTCTGTGTATCTTCTACTGTAATAAATTTTTTATTTAAGCATTCACTGTGGGTTTTATCACACCTCATAAAAATAAATAGATCCCTGAAACAGACTAAAGTACACGAACAACTGATCAGTGCTGAACAAAAGTAGCGTTGACAAGCAGCAGGTAAAGGATGGTTTTTGTATTACGTGATCTGGGGGAAAGGACAGAAAAACAAATTTTAAGCACAAAAATTAATCGCAGGTAGCTAAAAGTTCTAGCCTTAGGAGAAAGGATATTTTAACTAAGACTTTAGAAAAGTAATAATCATGAAGGAGAGATTGACAAATTGTGTACATTAAAAAGACCACCGATTCATCAAAAGTTCCCAGTCATGTGCTCCTAGAAAGACCTAACGTTTAGAATGTGTAAAGAATTACTAAGAATGAATTATTAAATAGAATTTAATTAACACTTCACATAAGAGGAACTAAGAAATACAAATAGTCAATAAATATATAAAACTATATATTTATATTCATAATCATATCAGTGGAATGAAAATCAAAAGTACAAGGAGCTATCATTCTGCATATTTTACATAAAATATAGGGAAATTAAAAGTCTGAAGATAACAAGACAGTTGGGGAAAAGGAAAGTCACAACATTGGCCCTAGAAATGTAAAATTTCTACAAATCCTTTGGAGAATAATTTGTCGATAATCATTAGTCGTATGCTACTACACAGCAACCTATTAGCTGGAGAAGTTCTTGCACCTGTATAGTGGAGATGTGCAAAAGGAGGCTCAGAACAACCCTGCTCATTGTAGTTTCAATGAAAAGACAACGCAGGTTTCACGGAAGGGGTGAGCCACTTACTCTGAGAGAAGTCAAGCTAAGGAGGAGTCAAGACAGAAGGAGAAGGAAGAAAAGGCTTGGGGAAGGGACAGAGTCTGGGAGGTGATGGAGCTGTTTTCTTTCCTACGGCTGAGGAAGGCGCTCCTGTTTCTTTCCTCCCTTCCTTAAATGTACCAACATACCGTCTACTCCCCTGGACTACACATTTCAAAATGGAAAGATTACACAATAGAAGAACAAGATACACCCAGTTTATCCCCACACAATAATTGGATTTATTTATTGAAAAGTAAAACATAGTCTTAAAAGATTTCAAGTTGTATTTGAAATATATAATTTGGAAGATTATAAAAGAAAGTTCTGAAAAGAAGTATCACTAAATGGTATTGACCGCTATAGATTTTGATCACTGAGGAATGTGAGTCTAGCACTGGGTTATACAATGAAACAAGGGGGTAGAAAAATAGGTCAGCCGGTTATGGATGAAAACCACTACAAACTGTAAGCCAAATAAACCCCTTCCCCTCCAACTTTGGGTGTCAGGTATTTTGTCTCAGCATCGAGAGGAAGGTAAACTAACACAACGTGATATTATTTTAAGTGAACACTGCCAACACACTATGTCAAAGCATAAAGACTGTGTGTGCTGTGACATTAGGTGACTACACACACCTACGGAATTACACTTTTGCTAATACACAGGCCAAGTGCATCAGGTAAACTACTGGAAGGAAATAATATGCCAGCACACTTATAAGAATGTGTGAAGATGGTGATATTCTGGGCTTCTTTTCCATTTTTCAATAATTTCCTTACTAGGGTTCTATGACCTTCATACTTAAAATCTGTAAGTATAAAGACACTGCTGATATCTGTAATCAGTTCTCTAAGTCTGCATGTACTATTTGGATGCACTTGTGTGAGGAGCATGCTACACAGAATATTTTCTTGTGAATATAAGGAATAAATCTCTTCGCATTTTCTGTATAACCTTGAGCTGACAAATTTAAGAATACTTAAAAAAAATAGAGAATGCCCAGTGATAACCTATTTGAACATCTCCTTTAAATCTTACATGTCAAATGATCCCAGTTTAATGATTATCAAAAGTCATTTTCTAAGAGCCTATGAGAAACTGCACAGTAAATGTCGCAGAAACACAAGATTGCGGCAGCTATGTAAACTGCCACAGAAATGAAGGGAACATTTGGTGAGCGAACGGTGGGAATTGATGGAAGTATTTTGAGTACTGGCTCCCTCCTCAGAGAGGACAGAGCCGGATCTGTGTCCCCGAAATGTTAAACTGCAAATGATTTAAGTTTATGTCCCCAAAGAAGTGAGAGTCGGCCAGAAGGGAAAGCCGCAGTGACATAAAGGGCCTGTGAGCCTCCTGGTGGTGCACTGTCAGCAGCACTGCGTTCGCCAGGCCAAGTGCTGTCAGGACAAAGATGCCGCCTCCCTGTCCGCATCGGGGTGACCCCACGGCACCCACAGGCCGGCCGGGTGAGAGTCCTCCTGGGACCGGTCCCTGGGGTCTCCAAACTCCCAAGGCTTTGGAAGAAGTCAGAACTTGCACTGGCAGAAACGTTTTTAACTGATGTTATTTCAAAACAAGGTCTCCGCTGGCTACCTGAGACACTGGTTTTAACATTTTTCCTAATAAGCAGAACTCAACACAGAGCAAATTCTCTTGTAACTCATCCAACAATTTCGCTTTAAAAAAATTAGGGTGACTGCAAAACCAGTATTTAGGGAAAGTCTCTGGGTTTTTCCCCCTTTTTGCTGACATTTAATAAGCATTTGCAAAACATGTACAATATTTTATTTGTTATTTTCACGTTTACAATTCACACGTACGGACTTTACTTTCATTCGCACAAGTGCTTACGTGAACCTGGAAGCAGTGGAGAACACCTGGTGTCGGGCCCGTCGTCCCGCTGTGATCCGGAGCCACGCACCAGGCTGCAGCACACGGAGCTGCGCGGCGCGGGGAACAGGAGGCCGGGGCTTCCCTCCCGGGGCGGAACTCGCACCTCAGGCAGGAATGCTGTCTTGCTGACAAACGCTGCGAAGAAAGGTAGCGTCAGGGAAGACGTGCCCGGAGAAGAGCTCCTCGCGTTGGTCACCTGTGTGCAGAAGTGCAGGTGGCTACACAGGGAAGGGCGTCGGGCAGAAGGGCGAGCCGAGCGCCGGAGTCCCGGGGTGCGCGGGGTGGTGGAGTGTGGGAGATCGCGCCGGGCGCCTCGACCTCTGGGCACGGTTGGATTTTCCTTCTCACAGCTGTCCCTTTTGCCTATGGGCTCATCATCACTCACTGTACGGAAAGCGCAAGCAAACAAGGAAACCGATGAACAGTTTCTGTGCAGTTTTTCCCGAAGCGGGTAATTTAAACATAGAAACGTGCGTTTGTTCTTTCCCGGGGTCGGACGTCTCCGGAGCGCCTCGTGCCTGTGAGGACTGCTGCCCGGTCTGCGGGACCCAGGGCCCCACGGCTGTGCTGCGGGCCGTGGGCAGCGCCGAACAGTCGGCGGGCGAGGACTCCGGGGCTGGGAAGGGCAGCTGTGCACTGAGCACGTGTTCGTGGGCGCTGTCTGAACCCGGCAAATGGGGCTTCGCGGGTTCCCTCCCGCAGGCCCAGGTCCCGCTCCGGCAGCTGCCGTATGGGTACCCGTCTGTGATTCCCACCTTTCCTCTGAAAACGTAACCGGGCAGGAAGGCGCTGCCGATGTTTAACACCTCATTTCTCAAAATAGGGGGAAAGGGCAGGCAGGTCTATCTCCTCTTTACTCATTTCCATTTCAATCGAGTTAACAGCACCCAAGAAAACAAAAAGAAAAAGGAAAATGTTTTCCTATGTCCGTGCTAGAACTTTATAAAATATGCATACTGGTTAGAGGTCTGGCTTACAGATCTGCTGTAAACAAGAGGACACCGGAAGTGTCTGTAGCTTCACATCTAGCACCTTTCTTTCAGGATGTGCAGAAGGCTCTTTAAGACACTGAAGGAACCATTATCTATCTTTAAATTCTTTGAAACTCCTTGTGATTACAGCATAAGAAGAATATCATCACATAAGCTATGCAAATGCCCATACTTCTCTATTACTAAAATAGTGGGATGTAATTCATGTACAGTCCCTCTGATTTAACAAACTTAAAATTGAAAATCGCCTTTGCCTTTTTATGGTCTGAAATTAGTAACCTTAAGAGCCACCGCAACCTGCTGTGCAAACTGGAGACTTACTTAAAAATTTTGCCATAAGCCACATCAGTGATACAGAAATTTACTTCTGAACCCAAAATTTTATTAAAAATTAAAAGGAGAACAAATCTGAATATCACATCAGTTACATTTCTACACAGCTATAATTTCATCTGCAATAAAATTAATATTTTAAAGACCATACAATCCATAATTTTTTACTCATTTACTTTACTTCCTGCTCTCATGTTAACTATTTAATAATCTACTTACAACCCAAACTATTTATTTTACTTCATTTGCATACAGATATAGAATATCTGTGAACGTAGGGGAGATGCCAAAGAAAGCGTCCAGGTGTGGTGAATGAGAAACTGGCCCGAGGAAGTGTGAATTCTAAAGAGATGTGGGTTATTATACCTTATATTGTTTCCCAACTGGGTTTAAATTATCCTAAAACTTTAACCATTTTATCCTCATAGAAGCCGTGAGATCGTGGGCAGCCATTGTCCTTTCCCTTTGAGTAAGAAGGAAATTCAGTGTGATAGTTACTGGCATTTCACTTCCAATTTATCACTAATATTAGTAGACATTGAAATGAATTTGATGTACTTCAAAATGGAACACATTACAGGCCATGAAGAGTATTTCTATACTCGTGATACAATGAAACAAGGAGTTAAAATGTAAAAACTTCATGGAGAAAGCTACTTGAAAGCAGTGAGCTTATTAATTTTTTTCTTCCCATATGCTTGGTCTATCTTATTATGACTTTTATTTGAATTTAACCTGCGTTGTGTTTAAAAAAAGACTTTCAAGCTTCCTTCTTTAAAAAGGTTTCAGAGAAATTTTAAGGAGGGATTTGAGAGAGGCGATGGTTTTAAATAATGGGCATGAAATAAGAGCGTTTCTAGAGCTAAGTACAGTATGGGAAATTTCAATCTTAAATGTGGGAGTAGGAAGCCCCACCATATGAGTTTAAATCCTATCTAACAAGGGTAATGGTATTGATCTTCAGTGTGATCCTCTTGCTACCCTCTCTCCCCTTCCTGGGTATCTGACCTTCACTCTCCTGGCCTAAGGCATCATCCCTCCAGCTCTGTTCAAGGAAGGACAAGGACAGAGAGCCACAGCAGAAAACCTCCAAAGCGAATAACAAATGTGTCTGGGGCATCTGGGCTCTGAGAGTCAGAGCAGAATTGGGAAGTAAAAAATCAAATTATTATCTTGGAGAACAACTCTCCAGATTTCTTTCTGCTTTATCAGTAACAAACAGGCCCGTATGGCTCATGCTCATGAGAACTGTCCCAGAGCAGAGGGACGTGGCTGACCAGAGTTAAGGCTCAGCTGATGTTTGGAAAAGGGACGACAAGAAGAGAAAGCCAACCCCTTCCGATTCTGGAGATCAGTGGAACGAGAAAGAAGCAAGAATGTAGAGGAGTGCATGTGAGGTCCAGGGTGTTCTCCTCCTCTGGGTTTCCTGCAAGAGTAGTGGCCAAGGTGGAGGGGACCCTCTGTGCCCCAGCTCCTGCTGCTTCTTGGAGACTCTGAGAACCCATTGCCAGGGCTTTGAGACTGAGGAGTCTCTGTGCAGGCCTAAGGCTTGGGCTGAGAGGCCATGTTGGGGAAAGGAAAGGAGAAAGGAAACCTCTGCGAAGTCTTCCTCAACACAGATAATGAAATGTAATCATCGACACGAGACCACGCCAGGGACGCTGAGGATGATGAGATTGTTGGCCACATGGGGAGTGGATAATAGGTTCTAGATTTGGACACTGAAGCGGTGGAGGCTGAGTGGCCAGGTCAGCCACATCTAGATCGGATGAAAGGAAGGAAACGAATGGAGTCTGTATCAATCATTCGGGAGTGAACTGAAGATGTTTCACGTATCACGCATAATTGAGAGAGGGCAAAGGGCAAACTGAAGGGGCCGTCACAGATCAGGATCACGGGTAACAAACTGGATGAAAGGGAGGAGGCGTAAACAGTGAGGATGACATCTGTGCTAAGCATGGAGAAGGAGAGGGGCAATGGGCATGGCACACCTTTAGCCGAGGATGGCAGATGAGCTTGGTTGCAATTCCCGTGTGAAACTAACCATCCAGGGGCACATTTCCACATTCGCACCATTGTGTGTTCATGTCTGACCTCAAGGAAGAACATCTCCATTTGAAATTTCTACCTATTGTGCATCGTAGCTTGAGAAAATTAGCTTCACTTTTAAGCATTTTTTTTAATGTTAGAAAGGATAAGACTATATCACATGTTATCCTAGTTTTGAGTTTCACAATACTAGTTTACTTCTTCATTTATTTTATCTGAAAAGCACCTGCCCACTCTTCTAAATTCTTGGACAGTAGAAGAAACAGGCAATTAATCTCTGAAGTGAATTAATGTTTAATTAGGTTATTTAATAATCTATTATTTGACATTAATTTTGAAGATCTTAGTGTTATGTGAAAAAAATTCCATTTCAAATAAGCATAGACATTTTTATTCAACACTGACGAACATAATTCTTTAATTCAGAACTTTTCAGAGCCTTTACTGAGCTCTATTTACTAGACAAACATGTAAGCAAACACCCAAACTGCAAAGGCTTAGCCAAATAGAAGTCAGTTTTTGATCAAGAGCGTCCTTAACGTTAGCAGACAAGATGGGATCAGCGTCTGGGTGAAGGGTATTGCAATGACAGGGCCGCTGGTTCTTTGAGGGTTTGCCTTTAAGTGTCACCATGCCTTCCACCAAGAATCCCTTATTCAGAGCCAGTTAGGAAGAAAGTCTGACTGTAGTTAGGGCCGGTGGTTCTAGGATCTGTGCAGACAGGGGATTTGCCCCCTTCATCCTGGGGCTTTCCAGATTGGGGAGAGAAGTCCTGCAGGTGACTTCATTGGAGATTTTCCAGTTGACGCCCCTGGTGGCTCAGATGACTGGAGCCAAATGGCTGCATCCTATAGAAAAAACAATTGGGGTACTGTGCTCCCAGCTAAGATGCATTTCCCAGTGACAACTCCACTCCATGGGGAGGAGATTTGCAGTGATAGGTGGAAGTTGAGCTGACACTTCTGAGCATAAAGTTCAGATCTACTGCTCACCTGAGCCTCAGTTCAGCTGAGTTCCCTCTGAGGGCTGCCTCAAGGTGACACTGGGCAAACTAACACTTAATCCCGAATGGCTGAGTAATGGGAATTTAATTGCACATTTGTTGTGAGAGATTTGGGAGTAGTTTGCTTCCGCATTCACTTAACCCACCCTTTCTCAAATATAATTACCAGGGGAACCCTTTTGTAGGGTGTGTTACCCAGAGCTGTTGCCTTGAAGAACATATTTTGGAGAACACTGGAACAGGGAACACTCTCTGAAAGTCATTGCCATGCTACATGGCCAAGTGTTGCATGTGTCCCACACTAGCCTCCTGGTTCTCCCCAGGGCCGGCAGGATATGTCAGCACACTTCGAAATCAGGAAAAACCTGAAAACGTCCATCTTCCTCTTTCTCAAGTCAGGTGTATGACTTACATTTGTTATTTTCTAACATTTTATAGCTGTAGCATTTACTATTTGAAAAGCTAGTCAGCAAAATATTCAATACATTCAAAATATTCAGCAAATGAGTAGCAGGCATATTTTATCTGTCAATAAAATAGACATGTTTTTTTTATTATTTGATTAAATAGTAGAAAAGAGTGTATTGCAGTAGAGAGTGTTATCATTAGGTTAGTAGCATAGACTATACTGTGGGTTTATTCAAAGTTCCATGGGTGGATTTTCATAAAAATAGTAAATCTGACTGCTGTAGAGTGAAGTTCAATAAAGATAATTAATAGATTCCAAAAATATGTTGGTGGAAAATGATGATATAAAAGCATTTCAATCTTTACTTCTAAAAAATACATATCTTTATGAAATCTTGTTTCTGATTTTTTTCACTGATATTAGTTGATTTCCTTTACCTGTAAGTACCATGCATATGCTAATACTTAGTCTGGAGCACATATTGACGCTTACAGCTAACTTGGAAATAAATCAGTAGAGGAAACTCTCTCCGTTAACCTATTTTCTTCTAAGCTTTAATAACAATACTCACTTGCTTTTATTCAGCAAG